TTTACTATATGTTTTCCAACATAAAACGCAATTCACTCACTCACAAGTCACAACTTACTCAGTTATATAAAACATCCAATCAATATTTTATTATGTTTATGCAACATCGACATTAATCATTACATTTTTTTCATGTATCGTTTTGAAATCCAAAAACGTTCGTTTTTCCTCCAATTCTTTTTCCACCCTTTTCACTATGTTTGATAAACCAAGCTGATTAACTAGCTTATAGATTTTAAGTATATTTTGAGTTTATAGCTGATAACTTATGATTTATATATAATAAATGTGTTAATAAAATTAGTTGATAAGCTAGCTGAAATATTAATTTAATTGAGTTTATTTGAAAAGCTACCCAAGAAAACTTATGAGATAGGATCTAGCTTTTGAATACAGAAAGCGTATAAACTAATCAAATAAGCTATCTCTCGTCCGGTGAGATAAAATTTTATGAAAATCTCTACATCTAATTGCACCCTCAGTTTCTTTAGTTCTTTCAACTTTATCAACTATTTAGAGATATTAAGATTTTCTTTTCTCTGTTTTTTTTAGGTTTCTAGTTAATTATAATTCATACTGTTTTTAGATTTTCTTTGTTATTTTTGCCAATTTAACTTTTCGACTTTTTCAAGTGTTTTTTCTAATTATTGCACTATTTTTTATTAATTTCCATTTCAGAATTTAGTTGTCATATGATTGTCACATCCAACAATGTCTGTTTTTGTTTATTGTGATCAATATCAAATATTGAACAAATTTGAAGGAGGTGTATACTTCTTCATCTTCAACAATATGTAATAGTCTAATGGTGTATGACAAAAGAAATGATAAAAATGGTGAATGACAGCATAAAAGGTTGATGAAATTTATATTATAAAGCTTAAGTTCTTAAGAACTTAGCAGAACCCCGAAAAACAAAACAAACCTGGAGCAAGATAACCAAATGTACCGGCAACCACAGTCGTGACATGTGTATCCTCATCGACCAATAGTTTAGCAAGACCAAAATCCGAGACATGAGGCACGAGATTCTCGTCAAGAAGTATATTGCTCGATTTTATATCCCGATGGATTATCTTTGGGGAACAATCGTGGTGTAAGTAAGCCAATCCCCGAGCCGAACACACAGCTATTCTCAAACGTGCATTCCAGTTCAGCAAACGTTCTTCTGCTAAACTATCTGATAAAACGAACATATAAAAAGGTGCAATTCTCAACCAAAATAAAAAGGATTCAGTTGGGAGTTGAATGTTACATGCAGAGTTGCATACAAATTTATCATAAAGTATTCAAAACTTCATTTTTGAATCAATAGGCTAAGAAGAAGAAGAACTTACCGTGCAAAAAATAATCTAAGCTGCCCATGGCCAAGTAATCGTATATAAGAAGCTTTGCGGTTGGAAGCCGGCAATAACCTCTTAAATTGACAAGATTAATATGTTTGATGCTACCCAAAATTTCGAGCTCCCGTTCGAACACTTGATCCGAACCTTCCCTTGCTCGGTCGATTTTTTTTACAGCAAAAGTTCCACAGTCGTTCATAACCATTCTATACACGGTACCAAATCCTCCGGACCCAACGATGTCCTCTTCATCAAGAGACTCGATTTTCTCCACAAGCTCGCAAGATGGGTATGGAAGATCGCCGTGGAAAGTGATAAGCTTTGCTCCTGAAAGTTATATATAAATGACGAAAAAAAAAATAATAGAATGGTGAAAAGTTACCTCCCAAGATTGAAAACGCCTTTTCTTTCATTGTTTTTCCTAAATGCATTTTCTTATTAAAATTTCCAAAACAAAGGTTGAAAGGCCAAAATTACTATTTTCATTATGGACAAAATCTTCATGAATGAAATTCCCGCATAAAAAATTTCCCTACATTGGCCTAAACTTCCAACTTTGCCAAACGAAACAAATACACCGGTGGTATTTCTAATTTTAAAGGATAACTAAGATACTTAAATAAAAATAAACCCCAGGAGATATTTTTCTTTGTTGACACAGAAAATAAGGAAATCAACAAGTGTTTTACTTGGTTCTTGATGAATTTGTTTTTTCACTTCTGTGTACTTCTTGGCAGCTCTTTCCTTCTTTGTTTGCAACCAAATGAAGAGAAAACCGAGCAGCAAAATAATGGCAAAACCGAGCATGGACATGGCACCGATCACTAATCCTTTGATATAATGAGACGATTTCTTGTGCTCTGCTGAAACTCAAATGCCATCCAAAAATGTCATTAATTTCAATTGTTTTTTTTTTTTTAATTTAAGTATGGCAGTGATTTTCCCAGTTTGTGTATGGTTAGCAATACCTAT